GGGATGGTATCCCCAGTAATAAGTAGGACTCTTTTAGCTGCTTCCCACTGGCCTTCGTTCCACTCTCTCTGGTACAACTTATGGCAACTGGAGGTCCATCTACCAAGAGTCTTGATGTCCTCTGTGGCAACACCTGCCCTAGTCAGCAAGGTTGCCCCGCCTATTCGGAACGAATGGCCCGATTTGTGAGAAGCCGGGCCCCAGGCGTTCTTCAGCGTCCTTTCGACAGTAGCTTGTGTTATCCCAGTGGTCCCGTCTTTCCCGTACGTCATGAATAAGCGTGGATCTTTGACCCTTTCCAAGCAAGCTGCTAGACGTCTAAGTGCTTCGACTGGGCATAGGACACCGCCGGTCGCGCGTAACGAGAGATATTGGAGTTCTCCTGGCGCGGCTGTCTTTGCCTCTCGTAGAGCTATTCGAGCCATCTCGACACCATCCACCGATAAAAAGGTCAGGTCCGACTTCAGCACTCCTTTTGTCCTCTTGGACTCGTAAGTCGCGGTGTCGTACACGAGTTCTCCTAGGCGTGCGAGGCCCCAATAGGCAGTAAGTACCAGTGCTGTTAAGCCTTTCGCATCGACTTCGTTTTCCGCTATGTTGCCTATCAGGGTTATCAAGTCCTTAGGTGCTACTGGGAGCCGCTTGTTTTCTTGAGGAGGGGCTCGGAACTCGAGTTTTGCACTAGCTCGTAAGATCGACTTCAGCCGAGTCAGTTGGATTTCTGGGAAGAAGAAACCATGGAAGGAGTGCCAGGTTCAAAGTGCTGTCAGGTACTTTTGTATGGTCTTCACTTTTATCGGCTTATTGGTGGCTTTCTTATTAAAGTTGTGTCCGGCCCAGATGATGAAGAGTTCTACCGTCTTGCAGGAGGCTGGTATAGCTCGTCGGTTCCGTGATGTAGTGAAGACTTTGAATTTCTTCACTCCCGACGCGTAAGTTTGAACGGTTGCAAGAGACCAACCTGCCCTTATCATGTGTCGTTGTGTTCTCGAAAGGCGTTGTGGTATGTTGTCGTTTAAAGACGAAGGGAGCTAGATCCTTCATATTTTTCTGCAACTCGCGAAAAGAGTAGTCGAGACGGAGACAAAGGTATCAGCACTCTTGTTTCGCAGGCTCGCTGGCGTATAGTCTGTTTACTACTCACCTTTCTTTCAAGGTTAGGTTTTGTTAGGAATAATGAGACAAATTTTTGTGTAGAGTGAATTAAACAGGTTTCTTTTTGGGGATAGGATTCTTTTTATTTAATGATACGTGAAGGTGTGAAGGTTGTTGGGTACCTATATGAACAAATTGCGATGTGGTATCTTATCTGCTGTCTTTTTTCAACGTATCGTGAGAGTGATCTCTCGTTAGTAACTTCCATCCCCTTCTTTTTCTTTCGGCTTGACTGACATGTGTTTGAAGAACTCACCAATTGTACGTCTTTCGTCTACTTAAAATTGGGTCACTTGTCTTACGCTTTTGTAATCCTCCAGCCAGGGTAAAAGGTCTCTCGGTATGTCTAAATGAATTTGTAAGAACCAAGCCCGTGACTTGTCTAAGCCCCTAGATAACAAGTCTGCGTCGTTGTTTTCTGTTTCTACTCTTTGTTGTTCTAATTGACAGTCTTCTGTAAATAGAATGTTTGTAATTTCTTTCCACTCTTCGTTTACCCAAAAGTCCCTAGATTTTTCGTTTCGTAATACTCCTTCGGTTGTTGTATTGTCTGTCAAGACCTTAAACCGAGCTCCTCCTATCTTACGTAACTTCTGTACCACTAGGAGTCCGAGTCGTACAGTCACTGTCTCCAACCACGCTATCCCGCGCTTTGGCTTTCCTTGTGGCGTTTCCCAACCATCTCGAAGCTTGAACTGCGCCCAATGGTTTCCAACGATGATTCCAATTCCGAAAGACGTCGACGCATCTCCTACCCAGCCTATGTCCTCCACTTCTCTCTTTTTAATGACGTGTAGTTTCGGGAAACTTTTCAAGGCTGCTAGCCACACTCTCATGTCATTCAAGACTGACGATGGCATCTTTCTTCTTGCGAATCGATCAAACCATTCCCGCAACCACCTATAGTTATTTTGTAAGTAGCACCTTAACTGGGGGGCGATGCACGCTACGTGACATAGTTTGCCGTTCATTTTTTCTACATCTTTATAAGTGAAATCTTTCTTTTCTAAAAATTCTTCCAGTTGTTTGATTCTTGCTTTTAACTTGTTTTCTGGTAATCTTACAGTTCTGTTTGACGTATTCCATAAGAACCCTATGTACTTTTGTTCTTCTTTAAAGTGTGAAAATTTTGTTTCATTTGTTTTTACGCCTAGTTCCAAACTGAATTTTACTATGTCGTCCATGTTCAAAGGGTCGCTTGCCTTTTTAACTAGTAAATTGTCGTCCACCCACCTAAAAACTTCTTCCAGATTAAAGTGTCTCTTCACCAGTTCTTTCCAAGCATCCGCTGGACCTCCAAAGCTTCCACATCCAGCGACTCCACCAAAGGTTATTCTGGTGTCAACATAAATCTTTTTGTTAAAGTCTGATATTAAACGATAAGGCCACTGTGAAGGATGTACTGGGATCTGCCTATAAGCCTTTTCCCAGTCAAATAAGGCTATAAGAAGTTCTAGTTCTGATTCTGATATAAAGGTCGAAACAATTTGAAAGTTGTCCCAGCTTGTTTTAAAATCGTTTTTGTCGACGAATGAATTTACACTTGGAATTAATTTATCGTTCTTCGGGTATGATAGATCGTTTATCGGTCTAAAAGATCCATCTCCATTCACTACTGCCCCTAGAGGACTTTTTCTGAAGAATGAAAAGTATAACGCTACTGTTGTTAAGTCAAACGGCCCGAACATCCTTCCTGCTCTTACTTCTTCTTCCAAATTTGACTCTATCTTTTCTCTGGCTAGTAAAGCTGACTGATGATTGTCGGGCACAAAATGTTCCATTCCCATAATCTTGTGATCCGGTATGCCTTGATGAAATCCATTTCTGAAACCTTCTAATACAAATTTGTATTTCGGTAGTAGGCCTTTTGACTTCAGTTCCAGTTCCCACTTTTCGACGTTCATTTCGCATGATGCCTTATCTGGCCATGGTTTTCTCTGTTCTTCCTGCTTTTCAACTTCTCCTTTTACCTGGTTTGTTTGTCTTTTGTTATACCCCGGGTTCTCTACGTAGATTGAGGCACCTATCATTCAAGTGTGTAATGCTTCGTTCTGCGTCGTTCTCGCTCTTTGAATTGGGACTTCGTTCGATCTTTGAGCGGGATTGAAAGCGTTTGGCAAAAAGGGCAAAAAGATTGTTTCAATGTTCAAATTTCAAAAATTGGTTTGTAGGATAATTAACAGCAGGAACGACAGGTTAGAAAATGTATAATAAAGAATGGCTAAAGAAGTAAGTTTGTTATCTGGCTAAAAGATTTGTAAAAAAGGAAACTCTAAAGATTGTCTCTGTTGCAAGTATTGGAGAAGGAAGGACAGTGGAAGGACAGCACAAGAATGGGGATAGGGAAAAACGCATGTATCTGATAATTTACCCTGCGTGTCTAGGTCTCAATGGTCCACCTCTCCCTCGGTTACCACCGCCACCACCTCTAAAACTTTGGCCTCCTCTAACGATCGGAGCCGTAACCGGCCTTTGGGGAAGGGCTGGGTTATGGACCATTGGCATTCTGACAATTGGTCTCGCCCCAAGGTGGCTCGTGGTCATTTGGCTGTTGAATGGTACCCCGTAGTCTCGTGGGGTTCTTCGTCTTTTCAGCGTGTTACTGTCTCTGAACTGATGATTCCCTTGCATCCCTGTCTGGTTTGCTTGGCTATTCTCCAATACGTTTTGTGTCAGTTTCCATTGATCTTTCCATTAAAATAAATAATGTTATGTTTGTTTAACTTACTACAACCTTTCCCCTGTTTCAGGGTCTTTGAACTGAAGTTTTCCTCCTAACGCATAGGGGTTCAAATCACCGAAATTCGACTCGTGAAATCGTGCTGATCTGTCCTTTGCCTGTTGGACCAGATTCGGAACTAAAGCACCTCCTCCTTTAACAGCCGATCCTTTCTTTCTGTGACCGAACAGTGCTTTCCTAAAGGCTATGTCATAACGTAAAGCTGTTATCCAGCATTCAGAGGACTTCTTGAGATCCATAACGTTTTTAACGTGTCCTTCTAAATCTTGAGCTAGTCGTTTAAAGCCATATAGTTCTAGATATTCCCGTAACAATCCTATGCCTTCAAACCATTCTCCGAAGTTCAAGGTAAACTCTGATGGAGCGTTTAAACCTCTGTTTCTAGACGTCTTTGAAGAGGAAGATTGGCTGTCAAAAGTTACATGTTAGTCTTCTGCCTCTTTTCTTGTTCCATTGAGCTCAGGCTGTCTGAAATAAACGGGACTTCAACCTTACTTCTTTTGACTTTCGTCTCTGTCCTTGTTCACAAAGGGTTGAAATAATACCGTCAAAGGTATATGTTCTGTTAATTTATCTAGTGCGTTCAACCAGTAAGGTTGAAGGTGAGCGAGAGTAGAAGTGGTGTCTGCTTCTGGTTCAAAGCGTATCCCGTTTTCTTTGTACTTCTTTTCCGATCCAGATCTACCAGTTTTATCTCGCTTCTTCTTAGTTGTATTCTCCTTCTTTGACTTATCTTTCTTCTTTGACGCTTTAGCCTTCGCTTTCTTCAACTTCGCTTTGAGTTTCTTCACTCTCTTCGCTTTCGCTTCCCTGTCTAAAAAGACCAAATCACAACAAAAAGGTTCTCTTGGTCAATGACTTATCATTTTCCAGGTTTTGAATTCAGTGATTACTAAAGCAGGAAATCGTCGCTGATGCGTAATATCATGACAGTGTGATGACGGAAATTCATCGTCTATTGTGAATGTGGAGGTTGTGATGGAATGGAATATCGACGGAATGGAGCTTCGTCTTCTGACGGAATGTAACGTCGTCTTATGGGAGAATACACGGATGAATTTTTGGTGATGTGTAGTGTAGGAAAAGGAGATAATGGATAACGCCCTTAGTCTGGGAATAATGAGGGATGTGGTATCGGAATTTCTTGGAATATTGGGGAGTTTTTGTTTTCCAAATGAATGGACTTTTCTCCGTAGTATAGATGGAAAGTATAGAAGGGAAAGGAGAGTTCGTAACCATCTCAATGTTTCACAAAAACTTACCTGAGGATGAAGAGGTTGTATCTGAACCATCTTCGTCACTTCCTTCCTCTGATGACGTAGAGCTAGCGTCGCTACTATCTGAGGATGATGAGGATGAGTCGGATGAATCTGACGTTGAATCTGACGGGTGATCTGGTTCGTCTTGTTCTTCGCCTCTGACATCTTCTCTCTCAAACCCGTCTCCTTTGTGCCGACCATCATTTGCGTGTTGCTCTTCATGAGAATCTTGTGATTTGGACTCGGCACCGATCAAATCAATTATGTCGGCTTGTCCTCCTCGGTCATCCTCTTTGTCCTCTTGTTTGTCAGTGTTTCTGTCTTCGTCCGCACCTTCAGCTAGGCCGTCATGGCCCAGTTCTTGACCGTCGATAGATGCCGGTTGTACTGATCTCGCTGGGTTTGCTGGAGCGGCTAGACCTTGTTGAGCGTCTTCTGCTGGTACTTCTCCTCTGACTCTTCTCGCTGCTCGTATCGCACGTTTCTCAGCAGTTGACATGTTAGAAGGTAGATAAGATTGACAAGAATTTGAATGGGTGCTTCGAAATAAGGTGGGAGTTTAAAGTAGAAATTCTCAGGATAAGGGTTTGGAGTTAGATGTGATATTGTTCGAATAATCTAGACTAAGTCTGAACGATGTAGATTGAATATGTGTATAAGGAGATTTGATGAATAAGGATAAATTGTATATAAGAGTTTAAATAAAATAAGATTGATTTTCGTAAAGTGAAAAACTGCAAAAAAACTAAAAGTAAGAAATCTTTAACTATTGAGATTAATTAATAGTAGATGATGTGATTTAAAATGAGATTAGAGAAGACTTGAAAAGATAATACGACCGGGGAACAAGGGTGTTAGATGCCTGGGGGGAGTCTCTACCTTATAGGGCTCTCGCCTCTTTATTAGAGGCGGAGTTACGGGAGTGCTTCGACCCATAGATGCGTATTGGGACATGTCGTCATCTAACAACCCGAAAGGTATTAGGTCTAGCCTTTTTCTCTATGTGGTCTAGACCAAGGAATCCTTTCCTCATCTCGGGGATTTATCTCTTAAGTCTTCTTGAAGTTACCACCCTCATGGACATGTCTCACACGTCGTGCCTTATGTAAGAAGCGATGAACGACCCTACATTAGCAAATTAATAGTTAGCAAAATGTAAATCTCTATAATCACAACTTAGAATTAAGATTCACTCACTTTAGGCGGGAAAAAAACCCAAGGAGCTTCTTCACACCAACACTCCGAGTCTCATTATATCCGAGCTCAATCGTAGATCCAACAATCTCGATATTGGATCCTTGGGACAAATCCATCTCATCAGGGACGTCAAAGGGCTACAATTCAAACAATAGATCAGTTACATTCGTTCCGATTGGTGGTTATCATACAAGGAGACATGGAAAGTAAGGTTAGCTTACGTCTACATTGGCTCGTTTGGCTGATCGGGATGTGGCAGCTGATGAGGATGCCGATGGTGATCGGACACGCTTGCTAGTCGATGATCGAGACTAGCAAACAAAGCAAGCCATTTGTGAGTTTGATTATCACGCAGTACTCCATGGGATTCAGGCTTACCTTTCCTTTAGCTTGTGGCTTTGCAGCTGCCACACTACTTGATTTGTTGTTTGATTTCTTGTTGGTAACAAGAGGTGGGCGAGGGGAGAAACGGCAATGAGAAAGTGAGTCCAGTTCTTCATCGGTAGGCGATGAGATGGTGATAGACACTCGCAAGTCTTCAGGGGGGACAATGAACCCTGGCTGAGTACAAGAAGGGCTGGGAGGTCGAAGTGTTCTGGTGCTAGACAACTTGTCTGGAATCTGAAGGTTATTGCGCGTAGAGCTTTGCGATGAGTTTTTTGAGAGAGGCATGATAAAAGAAAATGCAAAAATCAGAAACGAAGATTGAAAAGATAAGATTGGATTGAAATGAAAAGAAAAGAAAACTTTTATGTATGGAAAACCTTGGTTCAAAAACTCGATACTCACCTTCTCAGAAATTGGAGAACTTGTACCAAAATGAACCACAATCCAGCCAAGGTCCAATTCGATCCGGAATTGGTGTGGGCCCAGGTGTGGGTGGCCATTGGTGATTGATTGAAATGAGTATCCAGCTTCTTGTTTTGTAATTGGATTGAGGGTTGATACAGGGTTGGTGGTGTGAAGGGTGGATGAATCTATGTCTGTATATTGATATAGATCAGATTTCTATACAGATACCCGGTGCCCGGCCAGAAATGAAGGTTTGCTCCGCTATATAGCAAAAAAAACCTGCCGGGCTGGGTTTTGCAGCGGTAACTCCGCTATGGGAAATTCTGGCCCCGGAAGGCGGTGCACAGCCTCTGCTATGTAATGCAAAGGTCGCAGCGGGTCCCAGGACCTCTTTGAAACCGCTCCAAAACCGCTATATGTGGCAGAGCGGTTCCGGTATTGGTCTGATCAATGATCAAACCACATATCTGGGAAACAGTGCTTGTTTTCAAGTGTATTTTGTCTGTCTCAAATATGTACTTAGAACTGAATTTCACTCGGATTTGCTTTGTATGCCAAGCTAATGTATTCACTTATGAGTAGCAAGGACAATCATTGGCTCATTCCCATTCTTGAAGCTACATAAGCCGTATCTAAATGCAATCATTTGTACCAATGTGACCAGGACAAGGTACAACAAACAACTCATTTTTGGAAGATGGGATAGGGAGCGTGGTGAAATTGATTGTTAAAATTCATTGCCTGTTAGTTCTTGATTTGGATTTTGGTCGATTGGTGGATTTCAACTGGTCGTTCAATTTTGATTGATTGTTCTATTGCAATCAATCGTTCTATTTCAATTGATTGTCCAATTTCAATCAATCATTTGCCTTTGGTCAATGCATGTTTGATCTAAATTCTGATTCAAAATAATTGTTTTTCTTAAGGTGATTGGTCAAATAAAAGGTGAGATGAATTGACAACAAAAGCAATTTTCAAGTCAGAAACCAATCAACCATGGAGGAGATGAATAGGACAATGACTGACACAAACAGTTGGGCAGATCCCTTGTCCAGGAGATTGGTTTGAAGACTGAGCTGATTCCTTAAAGTGTTGTATGTCAATGGCAGTCAAAGTTGTCATGTGTAGAGTGAAGAGTGAAATGATATTCACCTGTTAAGAGGTGTTTGTGGCAAGACAGAAGTGAGTTGATGGGGATGGGGGAATGATGGGGGTCTCAAATCTATCAAGAAAGGTCCAGAAGTGACGTCCAGAAACATCTTGAAGGTGTCTAAGAAGCTTCTAGATGTCACTTCTTGACACTTCTTGGGCCCGTTTCTCGAGTTTTGAATACCATTATTGTGTTACACATGGTGTGGGGGTGGTCTCTGGGTAGCTACGTCCCAGCCAAGTATAGTAACTGTGCTGGTATGAGCTACCTGTGAGAATGATATCAGGCCTGAGAAGGTTTTAAGCCTCAAGCCCTTAACTCACAGAGGTGAGCCAGGAGCCTGAGGAGTGAAACCACCCCAAACTCACCTCCAATCTTTCTCCCCCTTTACATAGTTTGGCCTTCCATATCTCCCTGGAGAAACTTCCTGAACTCTGTTTGATTTACTGCATCCCATCCACTGAGCAATGAGCAAAGTTCCAACTCTATTAAACTCTAAATGTACATCTCAAATCTGTACAGACGCCTCATGAATTATCAATCCACTTACTTACTTTACCTCTGTTTGTCTCAACTCCACCTTGTGTGAGAAACTCTTATCAAAGATCATCAGACAGTTTCCTGAATCAACCTCAACCATTTCATTTCAACATCACTAAATATGGCTAATTCTTCTAAATCTTCCCAACTTTATATTTTCAACTCTTTCAACCAATTTACTGTCTCTCTCATCTGATTCATGTCAAACTTCCTCAAGTAAATCTTATGAGCATCCAAACTCCATCTACCTGCCTCTTTTAGCTTTTCTCTACTTGCTCCTAGATTCCATTGCAATAAGGCTCCTCCAATCCTAAATGAGTGACCATATAACATTCCCTTTCTTTCAGATCAATGGAAGTTCCACATGTCCCTAAGCAACCTCATAGCCCCTGTCTTCCTATATTCTGTGACAGCATCTTCATCACCCCAAGCAAACACCAGTTCATTTCCCATTCTTGGTTCCAAAAGGTATAAAAACCTAAGCACTTTAAATGCATCTAATTGTGAGTCTTGTCGCTGGATATGAATATATTGCATTTTCCAGGTTTGGCCGTCTTTGTGTTCCTAAGAGATATCTTTGCATAAGACCAATCCACCAACAGGACACATCTTCCCACACTGGCATCCTGCTCTCCTCATCATCTGTAACCAACTCTCTCAATCTACAATGTCCCCAAAACACTATCAACACAATCACCAGAAGTACCAAATCTCTTTCTACTGTGACCAACAAGCCACCTACCACCGCCTTCAAATTGGAAATTAAAACAGGTGGGTGTACATGTTCTACTTCCTGTGATATTAACCCCACCATCTTTGAAGCCTTCAACAACCCTTTTACCATAACAGCTGATTTGTGTGGATACGGCTCCCTGTGAAATGTAAGCCACAACTAAACACCCGCCAAACAAGCTTTCAAAGTTGTCGACTTAACTGGTTTGATCATCATCATCCACCAGTTGATCCCCTTTCTTTGAGGCTCATACTACAAAATGAAGGGTGTGTACATGAGCAGTCAAAATTTTGATTGATTCTTTGATTCTAGACAGAATATGGGAAAGTTCATGGCAGAAATTTTTGTAAAATTTACATGTATATCAATCAAATTCAGAATGATTTTGGCAATATATTCCCTCAAGATTTGTCTTGGGGCAAAGAACTTCAGAAAATCAAACTTGCAAACACATTCAGGAATTACATGTAGAAATACTGCCCACACAGGAAGGCTTTAAGGGAAAAAAATGTGGAAGAACATACTTTCAAAAGGAATATCAATTTTTTTGTGTATGTATATTGATGAAGCTGGACGATATCCCAGAATCAATGCTTAGGTATAGTACAAAAATAGTATTTTTTGTCTGTGATTTTTTTTCAAACCTCAATAACTCAGTCAATTTACGTCACAAAGGTAAATAAAGTATACATTCTTGGTGGGGAGATACAGGAGCAGGGTTGTACAGATTTATGATGCTGTATGACATCATCTCAATTTTGGTGGTATCCCAAGCACTTCTCAACAAATTCTCAATTGATGGATGTTTCCATTTGATATCCATTTCATGACTTTCTCATAAATTGCTCATAACTTGCTAGGGTTGGTGGGATGCACTGGCCTGCCAGTGACTTGTGATTGGGGGCTGTGATAGCTGTCAATACAGCTGGCTTTTGTACGCAATGACTGTCAGCAAAGTTTGAGTCCAAAATTGAGTTTTGAACCAGCTTTTGCCTGGCGAGTTAAAACTTGGCAACACACATCACCTGAAAAGTTACCAATAGTTCTCACAACAGCTGTAAGTGGCCATATGAGGAGCCACACTTAC